CAGGACTTGATAGCTTTTTCTTCACAGAAATCACAGGCCACATGTTCAGTTTGATCAGAGCTGTGATCATCATCAAAATCAGGAGAAGAAGGAGGAGGAGGAGCAATTGCTGGGGTTTCAATCTTCATCAGCTCCCCGACCACAAACGCCAACATGTTGTTTTTTACCACGGCAGGTCTTTGCATGAATTTCTGCCGGCACTGAGGACAGGTGTAGATCCTTCTATCATCCTGAGTATCTAAGTGGTCCGTGATACACACCATGCAATAGTTGTGTCCACAGGAAAAAGTCACCGGGTCCTTCAGCAAATCCAGACAGATTGAGCAGCAGAAATTTGCTCGATCAAGATGGATCCCCTGTGCCATGTTGCTTTCCGATAAGAGCAGGTGTGTGATGACTGAATGATAAGAAGAGAACTTAAATAGCTTCACTAGAGAGGGAGGGCATCATTCCTGGAAGAGGAGTGGCTTCAAACAGGAAGGGTTTTCTCCTTTCTCGTAAAAGTTAAAAGTTAATTTACGTGTTATGGGAATAGTTGTCCCAATGCCAGGTTAATACGAGAACTTGGAATTTTGTTCACAGTATGTGGACAATCAGGTGTGTACGTGACATAGGAAATATTCAGGGCGTATGTTAGATAAATTGGGATCAGGGTTGGTTTAGCTTGAATCAGAATGGTATTTAAATCATGCTCAACAGTCATCAAACTTTCTGCCAACCATAGACAATAGACCCAGGGTGTGTGCAAAACTGAAGCAAACCAACCAGTCTGTCCATGTCCTCAACAAAGGATGGCAAAGACTAGGGGTACGGTTCAATGGTATGCATTTTGGGGAAGTGCTGAGTCACAGCAGGAATCCCCAAGGTTGAGGTAATGAAGGTAGTCGGAAAAACCAAGCCAAGGGTTGATCATACTCTCCCTGAAATGCTTAAGGTTGGGGATTTTTTTTAATACGTGCATGAAGTGACAGATATGTGCCCTTTTTGTTATGTTGCACCAAGTGGAAGGCAGTTGTACATCAGGTTGCCGGACAAAAACTCTCTTTTGAACCTCAGCTTCAACGTAGGTTTCTATTTAACAAACACACTACCACCAGCTACTTACTTTTTTTCAACAATTTCAATGTTTCTTCTTCTGCAACATTTGTATTATTTCCTAGAGAAGTTATTCCTAATTTTTCATGACAATGGATCGAGAAATATACTGACACTTTGCCTCAGGCCACTTCTATCGTCAGCAAAGAGGAATACAAATAATTGGGGCACGAAGGTGATGACAGGTGTCTCAATTCAGATCCTTAGTACACTGTCAACACCTGTGGGGAATTGGTGAGTTTCTACCATATAGTGTCGTCTAAAATCTTACACGGCTACTGTGGCCACACCGGAAGTAGCGATAGCTGCTGTTAGCTCGCGAGATAGCTAGCAACGATAATTTACTGTACCAAATCAGGACGAACTGCTAAAACTGTAAATTAATTGTGGCTTTTTTTATCAACACCCGTATATTGGTACATTTCCTCTACAGTAAAAAAAAAACTTTTATATGCGTAGTGCTTGTATAGTACACCGGGTAGTGACTAAAATGGCTGCTGTTAGCTCGCTAGATAGCTAGCACGATTGTTTTCAGGACCAAATCAGTATGGACTGCTCAATTAACCATGTAAAATGAACAGTGGCTTCTTTTCACACCGTCATGTTGGTACGTTACCTAAGAAATATAAAGAAAAACCTGCATCTTTTGTAGTTGAATAGTACTGTGTTTACCGGAGCAACAGCAATCGCAGCTAGTCAGGGAACTTCTAATAAGTAGCCAAGATGGCGAGTGTTCGGTGTGAGAAGACTCAACGTTTTGACGTTATGAAGGCACATTCCAGGTACTTTTACCATAGTGGAATTGGGACACACTTATGCACTCAAAAGAGCACATGTGAATACAGAAGTACGCAATTTGAGACACAGCATGGGTGAACTAAGCTGTCACTTTATGACCAATGTAAAACTTTAATTTAAACCACCTACAGGTGACCTTGTATTACCTAGTGTATAAATCAAAACCAACTTAAAAGCCTTTTCTTCTTTCTTTTCTTGGCTGCTTTTGAAAGGCCTGTGTGCCGGATCTTATGATGGCCCCTCAGAGGAAACTAAACCTAATCTATAATGTGAAACCGTGTAGATCTGGGTGACTGGGGAAATCCATTACTTTGAACGCTGTAAATGCTTTAATCAAACTGTATCAGGCTGGCGGTGCACAATCAGTGCAGATTAACAGGCCTCAGAGCTGAAACACATTACAGTGTGTGTGTGTGTGTGTGTGTGTGTATGCACAGGGGGTGTGTGTGTCATCCGGTCCCCCCATAGCGAACTGGGGACGACCCCCCACTGGGCCCTGGATGTGAATACCACACATTTTCTCCATCCCACACCCTTCATTCCTTCCCATAATGCACTTCCTGACATCCCCCCAGCATAGGCACACACACACACACACACACACACACACACACACACACACACACACACACACACACACACACACACACACACACACACACACACACACACACACACACACACACACACACACACACACACACACACACACACACACACACACACACACACACACACACACACACACACACACACACACACACACACACACACACACACACACACACACACACACACACACACACACACACACACACACACACACACACACACACACACACACACACACACACACACACACACACACACACACAGCTAATCTTGCCTTTTCAGTTAAATAATAACAAACTCCCTGTATAAAACGAATAGATAAATACATGCAATGTGTTATTTGTATTAGCCGAAGAAAAAGCTTCCTGGTTAAACATCACATAGGCAAAGTAACCACAGGAAGTCCGGTTTTTAAGGTTTTAAAGTATTAAAAAAAAGACATTATCCAAACCCAGATGTATGAGTAACTGTTGGAGCTATACAGGTATTATTTGCCGGGCATATAGCTGAACCCAGATCATTATATATTTGGAGTATCAGTTATTTATTTAGTGGGAATGCCGATTCAGCATTCCAACTATATGTTATTCTACGGACAAAATTATTATTATTCCGCCGGAATTTTGCACCTCCTCTCCTCCTGCATTCAACATCGCAGAAACTCCGTTCAAACATCAAAACGTTCAGCTCGGTCGGGAATCGATGGCTATTACTTTTATCATTCATAACTTTCATAATTCCAGAGATACATCCCATAATTCATCACATTTTTAACCATTGAAGTCAATGGAGAAAATCTTCAGACTTGAACAATCTTCATGCGACTTCAACTGCTAACTGTTCATTCATACTTTCACTCAGAAACCTCATTCCAACTTTAAAATGTTACACATCTTTCTGACATTATTCGTGTAACACAACTTTTAAATCCGATTCTTACTTTTAGAGATATTAAACATTGTTCAGACCTTGTTAAAGAGGCTTTCTTCAGATTTTAACATTAACTAGAGTGCGTGATGTCACAGCTAGAGGGTGAGAAATCTTGAAATTTGCCTTCATATTTTTTTTTTAAAACTGCCATAATTCCCAAACCCTACATTCCTGAGACATAATTTTTCATGACAAACGTAGGAAAACATCTCGTAGCTTGAAAAATGACAAATAATTAAGCAAAAATAATTAAACAAAATGCCTCCAAACGGCCCAAAACTTCACAGGTTTGGTAACGATGCAGCCATCAACGCATCTAAGCGTATTATGGGGTGTCATCAAATGCCGTTGCCATGGCGACAGATCATTCACCATCAAGTTAGTTCAAAAGTTTGCAGTTCAAATATTCTGCTGCTTTTCCAAGCCTTTTTACTTTCTTTTCTTCACTCATCACACATTCAAGCCCCCAGTGTTCATGTATCATTTCAATCTAAATTCTTCACTTTCTTCTTACACATTACATTTCAGCATAGCAGTTTAGCGTCAGCATTTCAGCATAAAGCATTCCCACTAGCAATTTCTTCAGGAATTGCATTCTCTAGTTAAGAACTTGTTGCTCCTCAACAGCAAGAAGTCAATATGATCTAGAAGTGACACGTTTGTAATCAGGTTGATGTTTGGCCTTAAAGGGGACCTATCATGCAAAATGCACTTTTTTATGTCTTTTATACATAAATATGTGTCCCCGGTGTGTCGGGGAACTCACGCAGCGTGAGAAAATAAAACCCTCTCTCTTTTCCTCCGTACCCAAATCTCTAAAAACGGGGCTACAACGGAGCTGATCCAGATTTGCGTCCGATATGACGTAATATCGGAAATGTAGGCTGGCGTTACAACCACGGCTCTATCAGAAACGTTGCTATCAGAAACAATGCCCGACTGTTTTGGACGTAATATGGTCGGTGTTTACATTAGCATCGCTAACACTCAGAGCTAACCTGTACTGGAGAGCATGTGTGTGTGAAGCAGGAAATAAAAAGGAACTCACCTTGTGGTATAACCGGCAAGAGAGAAAGCCTTTGAGCTCCATACTGTTTCAGAAATAATCCTTGATAATCCATGATATGGCGTTTCATCACGGCAGTATTTAGTTTAGACAGTAGCTGCCGGGTCCCGCTTGAGCTCAGCCCCCTCCTTTTTTTTTATCAATTTTTTTTTTTTAAAGCTTTATACCCCAAATCAGCACTTTTGAAACAGGAAGTGAAATAGAGGGATATGAGGCATGGCTAGAATGGGTGATATGTTTGGTATTTTGAGCAAAACACTACATAGACATGTTTTTTATATATTTTTATATATATGAGACCTATGCTATTGCCTAAAAATAGCATGATAGGTGACCTTTAAAGTATTTTAATTAGTTTAACCTTCCACGTGAGTAAGACTCAATTCTGACTGTTGTCCATTGTTTGTAGGATGCAATGCTTGTGATGGTTTTATAGCAATTCCTTCTCAATACAATGCTCTATGAGTGGATAAAATGGGGAAGTAAAGTCTCATTGTACCTGGAGTTTGTGGGAAGAAAGCTCCAATCAGCTTGGACCGTTTCTTCTCATAGCCCTTCTGTGTGATATCACCTGTGAGGGGAAACAGAGAGAGAGAGATTTACTTTTCATATTCTTTAATATAAAAGCAGTATTGATTCCTGTGAAGACACAGTGCAGCATAAACCATGTCCCTGTTGTCAAATCAAGCTTTTCTGCAAAGTTGCAAAGCTAATATAAGATTTTAAAACCAAAAACCAAGCGATAAAGTGTACAGAAGAAAATGAAGGCATGAATCTGTGATAACAAAAGACAGAGAAACAATGAGGCTGCAGAGAGATGTTTATATTCCACAAAAAGCTGCAACCTAAGACATCATAACACAGTCAGAAGCTGATCACATTATGCTGAGTCATTGTTTCCACTCAACCAGGACCAGATGGAGCAGTTTGTGCACATGTTTGTGTGTGCGTTCATTTGGAGGTCAAAGCGCTGCAGATGCACTTATTGTCCACCTTTCTCAGAGTTTCCAACACACTGAAAACCTGCTGACTGATCTCCAGAAGTGAAGCCATAAATCAGGCCGACCTGAAGCACCGTCAGCAGATTTCTACATCTGAATCCAATGACTCTTTCAGAAATGAATCCTGGCGTTTTCATCTCCGGGGGATGCCAGGCGGGAGGAGTATGTCACATTTACAAAGGTTTTAAATTAAGAAAGAGTTAGAAATGTTTGGGAAAATCAGCGAATGTCAGCTGAGAGCTGATTGACTTGTCATGAGTTTAACCTGAACTCCAAGTGAAGGAAAACAACGACTTTCTGGGTGAAATAAGGCAACAAGGGAAGAGAGCTGAAAGCGAGACTGATGCATCATGGGAATTGGAGTTTAAGAGATGAGAGAAGGCATGTTCTTTCAATTTAAAAGCCAAAGACTAATACAAAAGTTAGGGTTAGGGTGTTGAGTTAACCCTTATGTTGTGTTCGGGTCTCCCGTGACCCGTTTCAAGTTAAAATTATATAATAACTACGCTCTAGTTTTTTTTAATCGGAACAAGGCTTCATGATATCCTCCACAACAGCTGTATAAACACTACAAAACTGATTTTGAAAGTGTATAATTTGGTGTTCGGGTCTGGGAAGACCCGGCAGAATTGTTGTGTGTGTGACTCGAGGTCAAATTTGGTCCAATCAAGATTCATCTTTGACTTTAGACACCCCTCCCCCGCCCCCTTCATACACTGTAACAATCATTTTTCGCAACATGCACCTGGTCTCCCCTTATGGGCTCAGAACAGTCTCATAATACACACATGCACACAGAAGGATTCACACTTGTATTTCATGATCCGCAAAAGGATTCACACTTGTATTTCCGGATCCACACTTGTGTTTTTCAATGCACACACAAATGTGTTCCGTTTCATATACATGTAAATAAAATCCAAATACAGAAAAAAGTTTTACATATGTATTTTTGATCCTCACATATTTGTTTTTCGTTTAAATCCCCTGAACCTACAAACACAAACCGCTTTCTGTGCATGGATCGCTGTGCATTCGTGTGTGGGTTTTTTGAGTCTCCCCTGACGGTGACCCGATTCGTACTTGTAATTTTTTCTATCTATAGCCAATCAGATGTCTCCTCAATTCTAAGCCAATCACATGAGCGCGCCCCCACGAGGGTAGATTTCTTGCGTTCATGTCACTTCATATACGCATTTTGCGCTGTCCGGAGCAGGGTTTCCGTGGACAGAATTTAATTTTACCGGACAAATTTGAAACTTACCGGTCATGTTTCAATAATAATAATAAGAATTGTGTAGCAGCGTTTCCGTTAGCAGGTAATTACCGGACTATGACCGGATAATAACACGGGAGTAAGGATCATCTCTTTTCCTCTCTCCCTCCCTCTCTCCTGACAGCCCGTCAGTTTCTCATGCAGCTCGCTAAAACTTCACTCGCGTTTATGTCCATCTCGATCAGATCCAGCTCTCCTGATCGGCCTTTATAGAGAGCACCGATCAAACTATTAGGAGTGAATATCGGCCGATAATGACCGGCGGGGCTCCCCCCGTTGACAGTTCACTGTCTAGCACTGGCTTCGTAGTGCACTGATCGATTAGGCTAAGCTAACCTGTAGCTGCTCCCTCCACAATCACAACAACTTCATACAGACATAAATAAAGCAGCTGTATTCGCCATACAGGAAACACACATTTAAAACGGTTTTGCCTGCCGTTTTTATGTACACAAGCATTCATTAATGGTTCGGAAAGTGGCACTGTACCTTAATAATATAAAGGCTTGTATTTGCGTGCATTTGGACCTGTCAGCTCCGGACAGCGCAAAATGCGTACATGAAGCGCTACGTCATGAACGCAAGAAATCTACCCTCGTGGGGGCGCGCTCATGTGATTGGCTTAGAATTGAGGAGACATCTGATTGGCTATAGATAGAAAAAATTACAAGTACAAATCGGGTCACCGTCAGGGGAGTCTCAAAAAACCCACACACGAATGCACAGCGATCCATGCACAGAAAGCGGTTTGTGTTTGCAGGTGCAGCGGTTTTAAACGGAAAACAAATATGTGAGGATCAAAAATACATATGTAAAACTTTTTTCTGCATTTGGATTTTATTTACATGAATATGAAACGGAACACATTTGTGTGTGCATTGAAAAAGACAAGTGTGGATCCGGAAATACAAGTGTGAATCCTTCTGTGTGCATGTGTGTATTATGAGACTGTTCTGAGCCCATATCCCCTCCCTCTGGCCCCCTCCCCCCACGGGAACTCGACCTTTCTCAAAGAAGATGTACACTAACACTTGAACCTGAACACACACATGCACGTGTGCAATATGTGGTGTAATGTGTTTTGGGTCATAACATAAAATGACAACAGGATTGTACGGTTATGAATGCATAATAAGTTAGTTATGATGTAGTTAAAACAATATTGGATGATAGTCATTTTTTTGTGTGTTTTGGACTGAGATAAATCATGGGTCAAAATTGACCGGCGAACACCATGAACGGTAACAGCTTTCGAACACAACACAAGGGTTAAAAGCAAGGAGAATGGAAGAAATGTAGATGAGGAAGAGGAGGAGACCAAAGGAAGAGAAAATCCATAAAGATTGTTGATGAAAGAGTAGCTTAGGAGTGCGGAAATATATATACAAAGTAAATTAAAATAGGTCATTAAAAATGCACTTGTTCTTATTCCTAACTGCTTGAGATGACTGTTAATGATGTTATCTGATTAAATGTAAATAAAAAAACATATTTATTCTTTATATCAATTTGAGGCAGGCTGGATTGCAAAAATAAAACCTAATTATAAAAAAGAAACTAGTGTAACAGTGATCGCCATGTGCTGCCCACCACAGGTACTAGTTTGTCATGAAGCGCTTAATTTTCCTATCAAGTAATATCAAATCGCTAACACATTTGCAGTAGTTTTTAAATATTTTATTTTGCAGTGTAACAGTTTGATTTTTCAAAGCGAACGAATCACGTGCTCAACTAAAAAAAATGGCAGATATTCTCTCATAAAACAAGTACAAATACGTTCTCAAACACTCTCAATATGCTTTTGAGATAACTGTTGGGCCAACTGTAGCTGAAACTTAAGACCAGGACTCGTAAACTCTGAAATAAACCAGGATATTTCTCTGACTGGAGGATGACTCAGTAAAGAAACTCAGTGACTCAGCGGATTTGTCAAACGCGGAGAAAAAAAAGCCGTTGACGTGACAAATCCTTCTTAAACTCAGAAACATGTGAGCACGGACGTCACGGTGACAGCTGTGTGTGTGTGTGTGTGTGTGTGTGTGTGTGTGTGTGTGTGTGTGTGTGTGTGTGTGTGTGTGTGTGTGTGTGTGTGTGTGTGTGTGTGTGTGTGTGTGTGTGTGTGTGTGTGTGTGTGTGTAAGCGTGAAGGCTAAGCACATGGCAATAATTAGCATCTCTGGTGGGGGAGCTAACTACCTGCAGAGAGGAACTGGCAAACGTTTTAGTTTGAAAAAGGGATAAACGAGGGGGGGCTGACCCTGTCTTCAACAATAACTTCTTACAGTGACATACACACACACAGACACACACACACATACTTCATGCGATGTTATCAGGGACGTAGAGTGAAATGAACGTGTCGCTCAGAGAGATTTCCTGTGAGATTCTGTAACAGCTGTGTGTTAACAATCTCCGTCCAATCAGAGAGTGAGTCAGGCTGTCAATCAAACTGTCAATCAGTGAGACAGGGAGTCAGTTAAGCTTATGAGGACATAGCGTACAGAAAACTACAAGATTAAAGGTGGGGTATGTAAGTTTGAGAAACCGGCTCGAGATACACTTTTTGTTATATTCCATGGAATGCTCTTAACATCCCGATAGCAATGAATATCTTAAGTGCTTTGACAAAGAATCCATAAAAAAATGTCATCTGTGGAAGCCTTAGTACTGTAAAAAGCACGACCAATCATCTGAGCCGGCCCGGCTAAAATAACTGGATGGCCTACCTGCCTGTCAGCCTTCCATCTGTGCACAAACTTATCTCGTGCCCTCATTGGTCATGTGCGCGTTCGTGTGTGTTGGAGGAGGGGCTCTGTAAGGAAGTGGCAGATTTTTTCCGGCTGTGTATTTTCAAATTCTAGCGATCTCGAGCTGGTTTCTCCAAAATTACCTACCCTACCTTTAACTCTGTGAAGGTTTTTCTAGTTATTAAGAACACAACCTCTAAATAGACTGACAGAAAACTATTGATTATTTGATTTAATAATGTGAGAGATCTACTTACTTTCTCTTATTTTAATGTCATTTGGTTTAACTGATATTCTGGATTGTAAAGAATGTTATGTTTGGATGTCTTGTCTTATATTTGCACCCCTGGTAGAGTCACTGCAGTAATAACTAATGGGGGTGCTAATTAAAGTACCTTTACACACAAAGCATTTTAACTTCTGCACAATCACACGATGTCCAAACAACACTGAGTTTGTGCGTCCAATACCAACAAACACCTTTTTTAAGACCCTTTCCATACATTTTAAGAGCTCATCGCCACTTCAACTTCTAACCGGTTACATTG